TGAGAACGGGGTGGGGAATCTTCGAAGGAAAAGTATGAAAGGATAATGGATTATAGGGAGGGAAGAGGGTATGGTACTATGTGGGATGGTAGAAGATGAAGGTGGTTTGCTGGTAGAACCACGAAGGAATGGGAAAACGATACAAAAGAAAAAACCCCGAAAATTACACACATACGTTTTGAGAAACCGAAATAAGGAAGAGTGAAAGAAATCTTGGGCATGCGGTGGGATTGAGACGGCTGGAGTGGAATAGACGAACATAGTTGCAGGTAGAGAAGCTTGATAATGATGGGAGAATGGGATATACCGAGGCGTCGTTTAGGTCGTAATAGAAATGGGGATGTCGAGATGGGAATCGAGAAGAAGCTGGGAAAGGTGAAATAGTGGATAAAGCGACTGACGATCATGCGAGGTGGACACGGTAGTGCTGGCTGAGATTATCCCTCCTGGCGAACCTCTTGTTGCACGTTATGAACGGACAAAGATGTGCTGCATAAAAAAGAGCATCAGAAACGCGCATACATCGAGGTGTGAGATAGACGAGACGACTCACGTTTCTCATGCGTGTGAATGCTCCGCACATGCCTCTTCAGGTGCTCGCTCCTCACGAACGCCTTCCCACAATCCGTCACCGTGCACATGTACCCCCTCTGAAGCCCCGAGCCCCCATTCCTAGCCTTCCTCGCCTTCCTATCCAGCATCAGCGTCGAAAGAGACGTATCGCCATCGTAGCCATAATCCCCCTCAGAAACGACTGTGGCACTCGGCGACACCACCACGATAGGCACCTTGCGTCCACGAGACTTCTTGACCAGTCCTGGGACGGGAACAGGAAGGGGAATAGGACGATTTTTGCGAGCTGTGCCGGCCTTGGTAAGCGTGTCGCTCTCATCTTCGCCATCGGAGATGAAGTGGAGAGGCTTGTTGTACTGCTGCGTGTCAAGCTCCATGTGCATGGCGACGATCCTCTGCGAGCGAGAAGAGCGACGCTTGGAACCAGCTGCACCTCCAGGGACCCACTCCTGGTCGTCCTCGTTCTCTTCGCTCTCGGCCTCGGACTCGGTCCAGGAAGAGCTAGAGTTCGGCGTGGCAGGACTCGCGCCGATGGACGATTCGGGAGAGGGAGCGTACGCCGCGAGGTGGCTAGTGTTTGACGCAGTGCTGCGCGAAGAGCGTCGAAGGGCGACAGGAAGGTCACTCTGAGGAGCGGAGGAATGGGAAACGACTGAGGTGTGTCTACGCCTGCTCGACATGTCCACCTCCGTCTCGCTAGCGTCGAGCGCAGGCACAGACTGGTCCGAGACGCTGCTCTGCGAGCGCTGGAAATCGAAGACAGCCGGTGCTGGCAAGGTATAGACGTCGAGAGGATCGTCGTGCAGCTGCTGAGGGTGGAGGTTGGAAGCTAAAGGGTGGGACTGAGGCGTAGGGGGAGGGGACAGGGCATGGGTGTAGTTGTATGAAAGCTGAGGGAGCGTGGGAATGTCGTCGTGCATCCTGTGAGCCGACTGATCGTACTGCGGGTAGCTGTCGCCAGGCGAAAGCGCTGGCGTGTAATCTGGACCCGCATATAACTGGGACTGAGGGTAGGGTTTGAGCACCGTCTGTCGTCTATGAGGTGGTGGTGCAGGATACAGCCGAGTGCCACGACGGGGCGAGCGGGCTGCAGGCGACGATAGGTGTGCTGGTGCCGAGAAACCACCGCTCAACTGGCCTGCTTCGTTGAAGTGAAGCGTGGGAGGTGGAAGATGCGCCCCAGAGTCGCTACCTGGACTAGAAGGGAAGCTAGCGCCATTCAACGATAATCCTCGACTCCACGGCGAGTTGACCGTTAGTCCGTCCGTTGAGGGATACGTCAACCCCGTCTCGCCTATAGCTCCACCAACCATTCCTTCCATCACGATAAAATCAGCTCTTGACAGGAGGATTGGATGATGAGCTGGTGTGTTGGTGATTCCAGAGTCGTCTTGAAGCTGCTGCGACGAAGAATCCATTGACGAGTTGTCCCAGCGCTGAGCATCGTCGAGACCGCCTGGAGCAGTGTTCGAATGGTGGTGGTGGTGTTGGTGATAGCACGAAGCGTCGGGGTTGGACATGGAGAAGAAAGGACGAAAGGGACAAAGACCTCTTGGATGCTCGTTAACAAGTAGATAAAAGGGAGACGCTAGATTTACAACAGTCGATTTAATATAATGCTGGAACTGAGACAAAACCCAAGTCTAGAATGGCTGTGACATTACTTAGGTAATCATTCACCATCGCACCCCCGCGGTCTATCACCAGCAGCCGCCGTTCTCTTTCGTCCTAGTCCTTATTCTGTAAGCGTTCGAATCCCTGCAACTGGGCTCGAATCTGTGGACGAGCGTATTCAAGATACGTCGCAAGAGCTTCCGCTGTGCTTTGGAAATACTACACTCGCACTGTGTACCCTCTCGTGGACTAGCTTTCTCCTCATCGGCGTCGGCGATGCAAACGCTTGTTGCGGTGGTAATCGTTCAGCCGGTGTACAAGGTGCATCTCGCGAAAATATATGTTTTCATTTGTTGCCATTGCTAGTCTTAGCTCAGAACAACAGCGCCCCAGTCGTCATTCAGACAAGCCACATGCGATCTCACGCGGGTTGCTCATTTGCCAGTCTCACTCATGACACACTGCCTACTTGCTGTGCTCAGAGACTCTTATTTTCTGGAAGGAACAACGTATCGGCATTCTTTCCCCAGGTCTGGAAGGATTACAGACATCCTCATCGGTTTGAAGCGATCATATTGCTATACATCGCCAATCTCGCTTAACTTTAGGCAGTCTGCTTCCGTTATTCGGATGCAAATCTCGCGTTCCTCGAAATAATAAACCACAGGCACACGGAGGCACCACCCAACCATCCACCTCTTCGCGCCGCCGGTAGTAGAGGCGCTGTCACCTTGCTGTATATATGTCAGATTATGTCCTTCAACGTCCGGTGAGGGGACTGCGCTCCTCAGGAATGCTTGCTTCAGGCACCTCGGGCCGTCAGCAGGCTTCTTTTCTTCAATATTCGGTGTTTGAACCGTGCTTGAGCCCAATCCCCGAGCTTCATAACCTCGTGGTGACGGCGGAGCGTTTACCCATAGTGGATGCCGTACATATTACTTCTCGATGGATGCACCGTCCGTCTCTATAGCCGCTGGTGTTCGGAGAAAACATCCACACCCGCTAACCAAATCCGTGGTGAGCTCTGACGATAGCGACGTGCACAATCTGACGTCTACTATTCCATCCATCCATTGCGATTAGTGTTGGCCTTGTTCTCCCCACACACTAATGAGCGGCACAGACCTGACGTCAATACACTAATCGCTAGCTCCAGCCGAGTCCGTCTTAATTCGTATCGAAGGACAGTGTTTGTATATGAGCCAAGACGGAATGACCACCCGATGCTGGCTGTCGTCGCGTATGTACAATTGAGAACGACTACAAGCAGCACCGGCGTCTGAGGCGTCATACAAAGACGCTCGCGTTTGAATCTATCCAAATGGGATCGCTCGAGAACAACAGGAGAGCTCGAGTGCAATTTGTGCGTTTGTGGGATTCTCTTCGACCAACGTTGGTTGCTTTGATCAAGCAGTGCCTGATAATAAACTCGCTCTTGTTCGCGGGTAGACCAATATGGATATATTGGTGGTAGTGTGCGTCTTGCCACAACTTCGCTGTGTTCCTCAGTATTTACCGAGCCCTGGCTCAGCACCTGTATCTGATGATGATCTGACTCATCGATGGATGGAACACCTCCGCCCACGTCGGAGCTGCAAAAGACGCTAGTGCTAATCAGCCACCAAGGATGTCGATGATGGGTAGTACTTACAGATCGTACACCATCGCGGCAGTCCTGACGCGATGAGATAGACGACACGTATCCCCCAAAACTGCACATGCAAGTCACCGCGACTTCAATGAGATGCTACCTATGTTTTCGTCATGTTGCAACCTATTCCCTATGTTGCACAAATGAAAATCAAACATTGGTCCGTTCAGCCCCCGAAGCATTTTTCTCTCCCCCAAAACTGCCATCGAGTGGGACGAAGCAGATTTTAGAGTTACGGTGCATGTCGCGTAGCACGCTTGTCCGCATGCATCAAGGTGTGGTTCCTTTAGCGTACTCCTCCGTGCCTCATGATGGGGAGGGTACTGCACCCGGTTAATGTACTGTGGTTCTAGAAGGGCTTTTAAGAAGGTGAGTTATTATCTGAGGTACAAACTTTCAGGTTGCGAGGAAAAGTACCCTCGGCGCAGCAGTGGGACGTCGTGCTATTTGCTTTGGCACGGCGGTAGCACGTATGATGTTATTCGGGCAGTGATGTTCGTGAGTAGACGAAGATCACCTTTTCACTGGTGCGTGTCTGCGCTTTGAGTCATGTCACGATTCTTCTCCACTGCCCTTTTCTGGTCTCCAAAATTGAGGAGACTGAACGGATTAAATCGCATGCGGCTACTACGTACTACCTTTGCATCAACCTCCAATACCCGTTGGCGTAGCAGCTGGTCCTCGACGTCAGGGTGTGTCCGAAACGTAACTGAAACACAGCTTTTCATCTTGAGCTTCACTACCGCTTGAATCTGAACGACAAATCCCCACTTGAAGAGCAGATCGAGCTCGAGCTACTAGTAGCTAATAAATGACGGCAATTTGATAGTTCGGTGGTCGAATCATGGCAACTCGAGTGGCTTATAATCAGTTTGAGTCACTTTGCGTGATATGTAGCTCCGTCCATTCGCCTGGGGTTCGAAATGCTGTCCAAACGTGCTTGCTTCTACTTCCACAGATGGAGAGTTCGACTAGGGGGCCATGTCTGAATGACCAATCAGTGATCAGTCAACGTAGCTTGGGTGACTGGGTCATTGAAAAAATGACACAGCCGCCGAATAATCGGTGGCGTCGCCAAGCTTCCGCGCTGCTCCTCCTCGTGCCTCTCCTCGTTCCTCCCGTTGTTGTGCATCATATTTAATGCTTTGAAAGCACTCACATCGAACCTTTGGCGCAGCGGTAGCGCGTATGATTCCAGAGTACGTGACTTCAAGTCACTGCGACGTGGTTCCATAAGGTCGTCCGTTCAATCCGGGCAAGGTTCATGTACGTTCGACAGAACTGTGTTTTTGCAGCCTAGAGGTCTGAGTCCAGCTGGCTGCTGCGCAACTGCCAACTTGCAATTGAGAAACGCGACGCCTATGTCTGATTTTTTAGTCCAGAGAGCTTGGTTTGTGTACATGATAAGTCTATATAGAGAGGAAAAACCGACCTGCCGCGCCGGCGTCATTTGACGATGGTAGTACTGTTCTGTAATGATGCCTACAACGGTAGTAGAGAAAGATTGAGATCAACAGTCAAGTCCATGTCCACAGATGGCAGGAAACAACGCTTAAACGAGCGTGCAGCAAGGAATGAAAGTCATGCATCAGGGTCAAATGATAGCAAAAGCCAGCATCAAGCTAGCCTAGCCCGCCCTCCTCACACCACACCAATCCCCGGCCTGTAGCTAACTCGCCCTCCCCATCGGCACTCCCACCCCACTCCACGGCCTCCTCGAAGTCATACTATCCCTCGCCCCAGACAACTTCGCCAATATCTCCCTTCCAGACCTCCTTCTAGAGTCGTCTCTTCGTTCGCTGGGACTTCCGGAATCATCGCTCCACCAACTCGACGTCACGTCTCCCGCTTCTGAGCGTCCCATCCTCTCTCGCGTGCGCGGTTCGGGAAGGGAAGTGACTGAATCGCTGGAGGACTCTTGTCGGTATGGGTGGGAGATGTGGTGGGGAGGTGCAGTTGGGAGGTGAGGGGGCGTCTGAGGAACAGCTATATCAATGTCGTCGTCGATGAGAGACATGGTGAGTGGACGTGGTGGACGCATGGGGGAGACTGGTGCTGAGGAGGGTGCAGTTGGAAAGGGAAGAAGGAAGGGTCCTAGAGGCCGGGGTCTCGGACGTGGTGAGCTTGGCCCCGGAGCGATGGTAGGAGACGCGAGCGGTGGTTCTGTCGATGGTTCTCTGCGCGCCGGCGAGGCACTGGCTGCAAGTTGACCTACTGCCGTTGTACCGAATACTGGCCTCGTCAGTGAAGGTGCACTAGCCGCGAACGTCACCTGAACCTGTCGCAACGGAGATTCTACCCGGTCTTCTGGGCCTTGCACAGGGGAAGGCGATGGCGAATGAACAGGAGCCGCGAAGAGATGTGATAAACCGGATGCTTGCCGCGGCGTCATGCCGAGATGGAGATGAGTTTGTGATGAGACGGGGAGCGCACTGCGATACGGGTGTTGCTCGAACACGAACTCGTCTTGCTCCCTGATGGGTGATTCCACGTTGATCACCCGACGTGGTGCGGCCGGGACTCGTCCCGGTGCTCGAATCCGTCGTCCCTGATTCTTAGTCGAGGTTTCAGTCCGACCGGTCTGTGCTTTACCCATCGCAGTTCTCTGAGTTCCCACCACGGATAGTCCGACAAGGGTTGGTGACCCAGCCCCAGATAACGATTCGATGATGGAGAGCGACGGTCGCGGGAGGATGATGGTCAATATCGAGCGCTGTGATGTTGTGGTTGTCGTCGACGTCTGCAACGCAAACTCGGGAAGCCGGGGTACGATGGATGGCGAGTAGACATACGACGAAGGACGACGGTAGAACGTGTTGTCCTCCGGCCCCGACGTACTACTCGCACCCGAATCGACACTATCCCCGCGCCTCGGCACCAATCCAGACTCTAGAGCAATCGCTCCATCTCGACGGTCTTTTCCCCACACCGAAGCAGCGGTGCTAGATGCACCTCTCTGTCGCCTCCGTTTGCGTTGGCTCCAAGCGACGATGCCTATGCTTGCGATGAGGACTAAGGAGCCCGCGCCAATCGCGGCAAGGATGGCGGTGAGTAGGTTCACGTTTGTACCTCCAGCGTCGTCGCTGCTGCCCTCTCCGGAAGGTCCGTCGCTGTCGTCGTCGCTGGCATCAGTGGGTTCGTCGTCGTCGTTTTCGGTGGATGTGGTCGGTTGATCCGCTGGTGGTGTGGGTGCGGGGTAAGGTCCGGGCGAGGTAGACGGGGACTGCGGCAAAGGCGATGCTACTGAAGATAGGGATGGAACGAAGATCTTGACTGTCGATGCGGACGGCAAAGATGAGAGCGATATCGAAGTCAGAAATGATGATGAGGGGATGAAGGTAGACGTAATTAAAGGGATAGAAGGTGCTATGGTAGTTGAACTTGGAGGAAGGTAGGGTAAGCAACAGTAAATTGACCCCATCAAGACAATTAACCGTCGCTCCGCTTCTGCTTGGATTTGAATAAGGAGCTCGAGTAAAGCTGGAACTGTAAGAAACTAATCAAGAGAGTAGATAAGGGAAGTCGTGCTCACTGTGGTTTAGAATATCGCTTGCGAGTGAGCGCCTGGCCCAGGAAAGAGGATTCGTACTGGAGGATGCGTCGATGTGGAATACGATGGGAAGGGAAGGACGATGGGCGCAACCAGCTGGGGAAACACTGCGATGGATATGAGAAGATGACTTCGAGCTCATCACCGGAGCAAGCAGAGTGGGTGGACAACGAGGAGCTGCCTGGCTGACCTGAGCCAAGATCGAGAAGGCGTAGAAGGACGAGTCAAAGAGTTGCCCAGCACTGGCAGTTTCCCCACCAAGTACCGGAAGCCTAAAATAGAGAATGCCACGGTATCGCCTTCTACGATGGGCTAGGAAGCCCGGGTTTGCATGCTATCCTCCTGTTGATGATGGTGGGAGGTCGAAGTTCGATGCATCTTTGCACATAGCTTGCCTTCTTGCTGTCTATCTCACCCTGGCGATTCATTGGACGCAGTAAATCAGTCTCACGGAAATAGGGTAGATTGCAATGATCCCGCAAAGGCGGCGTTTATTTGAGGACCGAGGTTAATCAGCTGTGCTTGATTAACTGGCTCATCGTGTGCTGCAGCTGTGTCGTGTGTGGGAACATCAGCACCGAAAGTACGCAGTGGTTTGTAACAGCGTGATTCGTGTAGTTGTGTTGGTCAACGACGGAGAAGATATGTGCATAACATGGTGGTTGTGGTCAGAGTCAGGTTGCGCAAGACCAAGCAAGACCTGCCGGCGTCGGTCCGGTTCATTCGGTGACCAGATTCAGAGGTTCGCTGCCGGCGTGTGAATATTTCGGCTCACCGCCCAAGCACGGTTCTGAGTTCAGTATTTGCTGTCGATGTACTCACATTTGGCCACGGTCTTCAATATGCAAGTATCGCTACACTCGCACCACGCAATACTTAATGACATCGAGTGCATGTGTTGCCCGTCGCCAATATTTAGCCAATTAGGTTTCGAACGGTGTCGGCGGTCTGGTTTCTAGTGTATTCGACGACCAGCTTCCTGTTATAATCAACGGTTGGCGTTGTTTTTTTGGCAACAGCCCAAAGCTTAGTAGAACAAATACAAGCCCAATGACGGAACAGTACAGAAACAGGGACAGAACCAGAACTACCGAAAATCAATCAGCAACAAATCTCCTCGTCACGATCACCTAGCCTTCCATTCAACCTCCAACTCTCTAACAGAAATCACTACGAAAACGCATCAGCATCCAACTCAAACACTAGAAGAGACTCGGAAACTTGGAACATACCGTAACATATCTGAACGCCGGGTTCTTCCAATCCGAGATATCCTGATTCGCATAATCCTTCGGATCGTAAACCAGTGTTCCATCCTTGACGGCTTTATCGCGTTTGGCGTTTGCGTGGACGAAGATGAGGCGGAGGAGGAGGATGACGATGATCTGGAGAGTATCGTCTATTCGTCAGTACTAGTGATGATGAGAGGGAGGGAGTGGGAAAGACGTACTTCGGCGGCACGAGACACCATACAGCAGATAATCCCAGTCGTGTATTTCGGCTTCTCACTGTCGAAGAACAAGAACGGGCCGACGATGTTCCTGCGCGGATACACCCACATCAGATTCTAGTCCAGATTTGAACAAAATAGAGTGAGAGAGAGAGCAAACGTACCCAGATGCAAGACCCAAGAACACAGCAGCGGACGCGATCGATTTCTTCGTCATCCCTCCCACATTCCCAGATACGAGCGAAAGGCCGACGACGAAGACGGCGTTGGATGCGCCTGTGATCCCTGTTATCCGATCCCATGTTAAGCCTATCGCGAGATTGGACTGAGAGGAAGAGACTGACAATATCCAAACAACCTCGGGCCTGTCCCCTCGGTCCAAGCAATCAACGCGAAGCCGAGTACGGTAGGCAGCGTAAAGATCGCCATGAGCCAGGTGCGGTTGCCTGGTCCAACCCATTCGTTGATGAAGATCGCCGCGACGATGCTAGTACGTAAACCTGAGTTAGATTCAAGCGAAAGAGTGAAAGAGAAAAGGAACGTACAAGAGAATGATGATGACCCCATACGGAATTTGCATCAACGCCGTCTCCAAATGATCATACCCAAAGCCCTGCACGATCAACGTCCCAAAGTTCGACGTCCCGCCCTATCATACATCCCCCTCGTCAGCACAGGTATACCATACCCAGCCGACTCGAGAATCGCGGGACTCACATTCGGCACATTCGCAGTAAACCCAAACAAGAAGAACAAATATGTCTTAGGATCCACCGCAGCCTCCTTCATCTGTCCCGCATCCCACTGTCTCCTCTCCACCCCATGATGATCGTCCCTCTTCCGGCTGACAAGCATGAGTCTCTCGGTGCGTGTGAACCAGTGCGTCTCGAAGGGACTTTCCGGGACGAAGAAGAAGAGGAAGATGGCCCAGGCGGAACAGAGGGCGCCGATGATGAGGAATTCGTATTTCCAGGAGGGGAGGGCGCCGTCGATCTATACAAGGGGAAATAGGAGGTTAGATGGGAGGGGAGGGGAGAAGGGAGGGAGGGAGGTACGCTGCCGATTGCGTACCCGAGGAGACCGCCGAGTGCGATTCCTGCTCCGTTGGCTCTGTGTGCGACGTTAGTCGCGAGTACTAGAAGTTCGAATTAGTAAGGTGGACTTACGAATACCAATACCCGATCCTCCTAGGCTGCTGCGGCCTCGTGTACCAAAGCGCCGTAATCATAACAAACGCGGGGTCGGCGGTGGCTTCGAATGCACCA